CCGAATGCCTTTAATTTCATTTCTCCTTTGTGCCTCAAGTAGCAGAGCTGAAAGTCCATATGCACAAAACAAGAACAAAGGATTCATTAAATCCCATTCTAATCATAACATTCAGCACAAAATCCTATTTTACCCTATCATAAGCTTTCTCTATGTCAAGCTTTATGGTCGCCCCCTTATTTGGTTCGTTTTTGGATCCTTTAAGATAATGTATTAACTCATGAGCAACTAGAAAGTTGTCTGAGATACGTCTACCCGAAACAAACACATTTGTTTTCAGCTATGAAATTTGACATCAAAGGCTTTAATCTATTAACAATAGCTTTCGACACCACTTTATATACGACCCTGCAAAGGCTAATCGGTCTATAATTTTTCATTAATATTGAACTGCTTGTTTTGGGAACAAGCACGATCACCGTGCGATTAAAATCAACAAAATCCATATTACCATTCAACAAACTAAGATAAAGGCTAACAAATAATTCCAAGAACATTTCAAAAACTACGATAGAATTGACCGGACATACCATCAATACCAGGGGCTTTAGTAGGATTTACTTGGAAAAAAGCATGGAGGACTTCCTCAGAAATGAAGCTGCGGTAAAGTGACTCGTTGTCCACTGGCGTTACACACCGATCTATGGCTTGAAGGGTCTCCTCATCGAGCTCGGCTCATGAAGACTGAAAGAGAGAGGTGAAGTACTTTGTGGCCACATCGAAGAAGCTCTCCAACTGGTCGCACCATACTCCTTCACTCTCAATACCTTCTATCCAATTTTTCTTTCTCCTTCCATTGGCGCTGGCATGAAAGAAGGTAGTGTTCCTATCCCCTTCCCGCAGCTATGCAACCCTTGATCTTTGCAACCAACAAGTCTCATCCTTGTCAATAACCTCTTTAAGCTCAGCCATAGCTTGACAATGTTGCTCGCAGACTAGGTCTGAGACCGGAGCCGAATCCAACTTAAGAATACGATCTCTAAGTCGCCGTTTATCTCGTTTGGCCTACGACCGTCTCATCTTTTCTAACTTCCAAGTTTCTCCTGCCTTCCTAATCTTGCACAGGAAAGAGTCGTCTGGTTTTCCCATATCGATGACAATATTCGCACACTGTACTTCCTTTACCCAACACACATTGAACTTAAAGTAATCGGCTCTAGGAGGCCGAGAAGAAGTCACACCTTTCAAGCATAAAAAAAGAGCACAATGGTCAGTGCAAGAGGTCGGAACTGTATATATTGAACAATCGGGAAACAGAAGCCGACAATGATTGGAAGCCACGAATATTTTGATGCGCTCCTTAACGAAGGTTCGGGCCATAGTTCCACTCGACCAAGTGAACCATCCTTCCCTAGGTCGAATGTCCCAGAGATCTGCATCCCGATGACAACTTTGAAAGTCATTCATGTGCACATTAACCCATCTTCTCCCTCCTTCTTCGACGTATGCAATATCTCATTGAAGTCTCCTCCCATGCACCATGGGAGAGAAGAAGTAGAGGCAAGATTCGTGATAGTTTCCCAATTCCTTCGTTTGTCCGTCCATGTGCTCTGACCATAAAACCCATGAATCTGAAGATGTGCTCTTTCCAGCTAACCTCTACATCGATGTGTAGGTTGGAAAAGATTCTAAGCGATACGTTAACACCATCTTTTCATAGCAGCAGTAACCCTATACAGTTGTCCGATCTATCCACGGAAAGGTAACCTTTCATCTTGGTAGCGAGTCTGATCGACTCTATCTTATTCTTCTGCAACTTGGTTTCCGACACAAAAACAAGCAGTGGGTCCTTCTCGAAGATGAGCCTCCGCAGTTCCGGAACTGTCGATGGGTTCCCAAGCCCTCGATAGTTCCAACATAATATGATCATGGAGATCGGCGGGGCTGCACCTCAGCCTCCGCCGTTAGCATCACATCCCTCGGCAGGCTCGCTTGGGTCTTCTTCCTCGCTTGTTCCAGCACGAGAGTTCATCGTAGACGGTGTAACATTCAGATCTTGCATGCTATGATTCTTCTTATACTTCTTTTTGCCAATGCCTTTGTCGCCTCTTTTGTGTTTCCAGAGCTTGAAGAACCAATTTCTACTCTAACACTTGGATTGGGGTTTTGAGAATTTCCCTCCTCTCTTGTCGATTCTTTAGCAATAGACATGCAGCGGTATACTTTTTGAGTCCGTAGAATGGATCTCATCTTCAGGGTTAGAACTTGAGGATTGAAGTAGGTCTCTCCCCGGGAGCCACGGTTAGCCTCACTTTCCTACGCAGTCTGCCCGAGGCCGAGCTAGTCTCTGTTGGTGTGAGCTTGTTATTGGTCGAGTCGCTGTCGACATATACCACCCTTCAAAATCCTTAAAAAAAGAAAAGAAACATTATGTTATACAATCATTTAATCCTTTTGCAGGTACTTGCAGAGCAACCAGTTTACGGGCACTATCGATGTCCTTGCCAATCTTCCCCTTGACACTCTATATGTAACCTGTAGTAGATCCGTCTTTCGTTTCCTTATAGTGTAAATGACCCTGTATTCTTGACCTTTGTGATAGTTGTTTCTATGTCTCATAGGTATATCTCCAAAACCATTTTCCGGCTGGATACCGGATCAATTGAAAAGCATCGATTTGCAGTAAGCATTTCACTACATTATCAAGTGTTGTGACTTCTATTTTGTATTGAATTTATTTGCAGTTTCGATATGAATAATCTTCGTTACAGGAAGGACGGTAATTCATGGAGCTCGGGGCCTGCACCACCACCTCCACCTGGTACTCCTCCTGCCACTAGAAACAATAGAAATCAGAAATCCGGTGGCAGTAGTTCCCTATCGGATGGTGATTCTAGTGGTGGGGCAGCAAATCAGGGATCAGAGGTGGAGGCATAGCAGGAATAGTAATATCTATCCTTATTGTTGGGGTTTGCTCTTTTGATCAAACTATTTTTTTTTCTCATGTATTGCAGAAATGAGCTTATACAGCCTTCCTCTTCAGTTGACACCGAAATCTTTGAAACAGCTGCTTCGATAAGCCTTCATCCCCCACCTGTTGACCGCCACCAATCGTTTGATGAAGAAGATTTTTCTAAAAAGCCCATTGTTGTTAAGAAAGCTGTTCCAACTCCTAAAAATGTTGCATCATATTCAATAGCAGACCTCCAGATGGCTACAGGCAGTTTTGGCATTGAAAATCTTCTTGGCAAAGGATCTTTTGGCCGTGTTTATCGAGCTCAATTTGATGACGGCAAGGTGTGAATCTCTATAATTTTTCGCAGATAGTTTGTCATTTACTTGCCTTAAGTGTTTTTAAGAATTTTCTACTCAGTACTCACCTGGCTTGTACCTTGTGTTCATACTGACGTAGGTTCTTGCTGGTTTCGAACATCTCCGAGTTGCATCAAACAAATGTCACAGAGCTGGTTGGTTATTGTTCAGAGCATGGACATCACCTACTTGTCTATGAGTTCCACAAAAATGGCTCACTTCATGACTTCCTGCATCTATCAGATGATGACAGCAAGCCTTTGATTTGGAACTCCTGTGTCAAAATCGCTCAGGGGACTGCACGCGCATTAGAGTAAGTCGATAATTTGATTATGGGCAGCAATAGCTATTTTTTCATCTCATTTTCATATCATCACAGCAAGCGGAAGGATTTGCAGCTCATCTCGTTTCTCTTTTTCCCCTTATAAACAGCTAAAGTTGACTCCCCTCTAAGTCGATATTTTGATAATGGGCAACAATGGCTGCATGTTTTTTTCAGGTACTTGCATGAAGGTTGCTTGCTATCTGTTGTTCATAAAAACATCAAGTCGGCAAACATCTTACTAGATGTTGAGCTCAATCCTCGCCTCTCAGACTCAGTCTTGGCAACTTTTATTCCAAATGCAGATCAGGTAAATTTTCGTGATGATGTTACTATGTCGGGATACGGTGCACCTGAAGTTACAATGTCTGGTCACTACTCTCTTAAGAGTGACGTTTACGGTTTCGGAGTGGTTATGTTGGAACTTCTCACCGGACGTAAGCCATTTGACAGGTAACGATTCATCCATGAAGCATTTCCATCGTCCATGTACTAGCATCCTACATAGTTCACCACATTTCTAACTAGTATGCGAAAGTGTTTTAACAGCACAAGGCCAAGACGAGCAATCTTTGGTTCGATGGGCAACACCTCAGCTGCAAGATATCGATGCTCTGTCAAGGATGGTTGACCCCGCACTTAACGGGCTTTACCCAGTTAAATCTCTCTCGGTTTGCAGACGTGATCGCCCTTTGTGTCCAGGTAATGTCCTGGTTGAAAAATGCAGACAGTCCTTTTTCTTGTTTCATCTACATTACATCTTTGATGAATCGGATAAACCCCGGACATTTGTGTGGATGGATGAACATATTCTTACAAATCTGGATTGCTGTAGCATTTAACTGATCTTTTGTTATTGTTTGTTATTGTTTCTCTGGGACAGCCGGAGCCCGAGTTTCGACCTCCGATGTCAGAAGTGGTCGAAGCATTTGACCGATTAGTACAACGAGCAAACATGAGTAAGAGAACCATAGGGTCAGATCAAGGTTCATCTCGTAGAACAGATAAAGCAGTAGCTGACGAAACACACAACTAAATGACTTCAATGGATATCCAGTAGGCGGTTGACCGTTTTAGTGGTGATGAGGACTCGAGATCATAACCATGTCGAATGTTATTGTTTTATGGTAGCTAATAAAATAAACCTCCCCAAACTTTGGATTCAGTTTCAAATCAGGCCAGCACTTTGTAATACGTTGGCAATGTAGTCCAACCCCCTCAGTTCAAAATCTTTAACCGTTGTGTATATGTTAAACTTTAATGTTCCATTTACAATCAGAACAGGAAGTAGCAGATATCACTTAAAGGGGGGAAAACACCACAAATATTTCCTTTTCAAAGATTTAATTGCATTCACTGGACAACATTAAGTGACCACAAGGAGTATATAACAACAATGCCAACTGAATCAGTACTCGTTCAGCTAAAACTACGTAATTATGCACACTATTTCTGAATCCACTTCCTCGGTATTCAAAAGTAACATGCTAGATCCTTATTTATCCTTCCTATCTTCATTCCCTAAAACATATTTCCCTGTGTTCAACGGTAAGTGCATTATATCTTCATCATATTGTTGTCACAGCCCCAATAGATGACAGGAAAAAATATGTTCATTACACCAAATCTCTGCACTTCAAAACATCATTCTTGTTCAAACTAAAACTATTGCATATATGTGAGATAGCTTGTTCACTAAGATAACCATCATCATGTCCCTGGTTAATAAGGTCCTCCAACTCCTTTGATGGCTCCAACACCTGTTCCATTGTATCGATAATGAAAATATAACATTTAAACGAAAATGATTAGCATCAAGGCTACGTTATTGACATCTCTCTTAAAGCTATGCATCGCCAAGAAGAATTACAAGCTAAACCATTCAAGGATCATTGAGTAAATGAGACTGACAACGAATAAAATGAACTTTTGACATTCTTTTGATATAAAAATGGCTGGTACTGAGAAATCTTTGTAAAGATGCAGCACTGAACATGATAACCAAGTTATTATTTGATTATTTATCGACTTTACTTTGCTAAACACCAATTAACTAAAAATATTATTATTAACACTGAAAAATGATGACAGGTAAAATGGAAAACCTAAATAGAACATACTCGCTGTCGGAGGTAATCGAGCTAACGGAAGTGTAAGAACAACGAAGCAAACATAAACGGAGTAAGATCATATAATCCTGTTATGTCCACTCCATAGTTCAGATTAGCACATGAGCTTACCCATTTGAAACTTGGTAAATTCTTAGTTCCATATTCCGGATCTTTATGCTCAGGTTCATTCCCTGTCCCATTTGAAAATTTTGGGTTTTGAGCGTGGGAGTGATCTGAGACTAGCTGAAGGAGCTTCTCACTTCCCTGCAAAATCAAACAAAGACAAACAACCTTGAGTGAATACTGATACTTCTGAAACTGACGGGTTCAAAATTAGTGATCACGATCAACAATGACACCAAAACTACGGGATCCACATAATGGAACCCCAATGCTCCATTGCTTAAAAACTAAATACTTTCTACCGACCATCTGATTCCTCCCCCCCCCCCCCCAACACACCCATTCAGAAAGATGCAGAACAGACTCCCAGTTCCTCAAGCAAGAAACAACATGCATGCAGCCGAGGAAGCGAAAGATGAATGATGCACACATCGTAGGCATATAAAAAGGTGATGATAGAAAGCAGTGACATGGAAACACGTGAAAAGAAGTAATCTTGCGAATATAAACATGTTTGAAACAGATTATTGTGATATATATGACTCAAGGTGAAAAGATGCAAAAAGATTTTGTGTCTTATCACAGATAGGCATGAACTTCTAAAATTAACTTTTACTATATAGAAGCAGCTTTTACAATAGGTTATGCTAAACTGTTCGTTTCAAATTATCCATGTAAATACACCTCTTAACGACAGTCCCTTTGAAACCACACAAAAGTATCTAACTCTAAGAACATCGAATCCACCTGGAGAGCTCGCCAATGCGAATAAGTGCGAAACAAGACCCAAAAGAATGGGATGTTAGGCAGAGGCAGAACCTGTGAGAAAAGAAGATCGAGTGGGAATGAGACAAAATATAAATGAAAAAAAAATCAAGACACAAACGAGGCTATATAGTAAATGACGGAATCAATTAAAAATAGATACATACAGTAAATGCAGTAGTCATCAACATGGCCAAAGAAAGTCATGAATGAGAAGAACTCATCTGAAGAAGGAAGAAGAAGTCATAATGAGAAGAGCTTGTTCAACCTTTGTTGATATCATCTGAAGAAAGAAGAGAAAGTTCATAATGAGAAGAACTCATCAAGAGTTTATTCAACCTTTGAATGACTCTATCACAGAAAGGAGGTCATCATCATCCCCAGCAGAGAGTTCATAATAAGAAGAAATTATTTGGAGAGAGAGAAGAATTTACTCAATATCTCCATTATAATCAAAGTAAAGTCAAATGGATAAAAATTTTATTATCTTTCATCTTTGCCCTATTCTTGTTAACACAAGAATGAGCAAAGAGGGGCAGCTGAAGATAATATTTTTTATCCATTTTATATTATATTATTATTATTATATTAGTATTATTTATTATTAGCATTATTATTATTATTATTATTATTATTATTATTAGTATTTATTATTATTATTATATATATATTATTATTATTATTATTTAATAAATAATTACAACTGGACCGGCCCAGTTACAATCCAACTAGAACGGTCCAGCCAACCAGAAACCCTAAACAAAGTAAGGTTTCAGCTAGGGTTTCTAAACCCTAGCCACACGCCAGCCGCCTCTGATGCTTCCAGATCCCAGCCGCCGCCTCATGCCAAGTGGTCCAATGGCCCACTGCCGACGCCTCCGCCGCTGCCACGTCCCGAATGAAAGCTCCAGAAGATCAACGCGGCCGTCCACGCCAAGGCTACGGGGGAGTCACCACTGGTAGTCCGGTGACTCACGAAGCCCTCTCTTTGGACCGGTCCGATGACCGCACCGGTGGTGGCTATAAAAGCCACCACCCACCTGCGAGACAAGAGACGGAGAAAAAAGACAGAAAAGAACAAAAAAAAAAAAAAAAAAACAGAGAAAAGAAAACAAACAAACTACCAACGATCTCAGTCAGCATCAACCACAGCAAGGAAAAAGAGAGAAGAAAGACAAAAGCTTACCCTGTCACCGGAGAGCCCCAACGTCGCCGGATCTCACCAAAACTTCAAAAAAGCCGAAGGTATTTTTTGTAGATTTGCTCTGATAGGGATTGTTTTAAGGGAAACAGTCATCGGAACCATCATAATAAGATGGTCCGATCTATCTTTAGGAGTAAAAAATTTTTTCCGGCCACCGGATGCGGTGGCCGGCGGCGAGGTCAACACCGGCGAACGGTTGTCGGCCGGTGTGCTTCTCTCAGTTTTAGAGAGAAGCGAGAATTCTGATTTCTCTCAGAGAAGAGAGAGAAAGGGAAGAAAGAAAATGAGGACTGGCCCTTCGGGCAGCCGATTTTGGGCATTAAATAGCCCTTCCCAAACGACGTCGTTTTGGGGAGGGCTATTCGCGTAATTACGAAATAATTAAACCCCTTCCGCAGTCCTTCATAGTTGTAAATTTTATATTATGGTCACTAAACTGAATTATAATAGTTTTAATTTAGTCTTCGAATTTTAACTTCTTTTATTTAGTCCTTTTTATATATTTAGGATAAATGACAAATTTAATCCTTTAATTTAATAAATAATATTTTAATCCCTAGATTATATTTTAATTTATTTGAATCTAATATCGAATTTTAGATGATTTTATTTTAATCACTAAATAATAAATAAAAAAATAATAATATTTAATCCCTATAGTTTTGATTAATTATGAATTAGATTTTTTAATTTTATTTTTATTGCAATTTAGTCATTTATTTTATATGTTTTAATTTATTGTTTTTAAATATATTGTTTTAATAGAATTATTCTTTATTATATTGTTAAATATTTTGATATATTCATAAATATATATAATAATATTAACTTTTAAATATTTATTTTTAATATCGAAGAAAAGGACAGTCTTAATACAACTGGATGTCCTATTCTGATATTTTAAAATTAAACAATATTATTTAAATTAATATTTATCAATATCAAAGAAAAAGAGCTGTCTTAAGGTACCTAGAAGTTCTTTTCGGATATTTTTAAATAAAAAATATTTTTTATATAATTTTGAAATAATAGAATTATAAATTAAATATATTTTTGAATTTTTAATTTTTAATACTAGAGACAATTTATAATTAAAAAGTACCAATTTTGGGCGTTGTAGGGGTGCTAATCCTTCCCTAAACGTAACCGACCACGAACCCCTTTTTATTATTAAAAAGAACAAATTTTTGGTTATAAAACGCAGATCAGTTCATTTTTTAATTGATGTTTTCTTAAAACTCTTTTAAAAAATAATTTTTAGGTATTCGACCTACCTGATCCAAAAGGTCGATGGCGACTCACAAATTATTTTCAAAATTATTTATTAACATTAATTTCCCCACCAAAATTTAATATTTCGTGCCCGGACGAAAACCGGTTACGACAGCATCCAAATGAAACCTCCCTCGTAGAATAGAAAACGCTCGAACCAATATCCGTGAACCCCATCATCTCTATGGTCTCGTCTATAAAAACGATTGTGATATCAACGGTGGAGTATTAATATGTTTCTGTGAACGTAAGCAACGTAATAACTGATCATTTCTGGAAAGCACCGGTGAAAATGACCTTTACCTCGTTCGTCAATTTATTTTCAAGTAAGAAACCACGTTAAGTCCCTCCTATTAACATACCAACACGATATTCTAAAAAAGAAATTGTAATGACCCTTCGCGTGGAAGTGTGATGGTCTGGAAAGATGACGACTTATCGCATGCATTGTTGCTATGCTCCCTAAAACGTTCTTCCAATTTAACCATGCGTCTTTTTACGATAATATAATCGTCCCTCGTCATAGGCAACAATTGTGACTAATACCCCCTATGATATTGGTTTTGCACAACAGTGATATTTGTTATAAACTAATACATTAGTCCCAGACATGAGTGACCGATTGACTATAGATGGAGAAAATGAACTAAGTAATGAATTTTAATGTCGAATGATCAATTTATTATAAATTGACAACATTATTGATCAAATCGTTAGTTTTAAAACACCACAGGGAAAGGAGACACTTACTCAAACAAGAGTGACTATTTGTATAGTTAACCCTTTATTTTACTTGATGTTTGATATAGGGTTAAATACACACTTGTCCTTGCTATTTAAAATATTTTTAAGATATTTTGTGCCTAAAGTTTAAATTATTATCTTGTATACCTCAAACAGTTAATTCCATTAAAAATAGTAAGGATAAATTATATATTTAGCCACTTAACTATTTTTATAGTTCTATTGTGGTCCCTCAACTTTTTTACCCAAAATCACCGATAAAATTAAATTTTTAAAAACTTAAGTTTAGTAATGATTTAAAAAAAATTATAGTTGGGTAACTAAAATACAACCTCATGAATAGTTGAATGATTAAATATGTACTTTAGCCTCGATTTTTTAACGGAGATAACATTTTGAGACAAATGAGATAACAATTTAAATTTTATAGGCAAAACATCCCAGAAAATACTTTAAGGGACATCTCAATAAAATGTGTATAGTCAAAGGGCAATAGTGCATTTAAGCCTTTGATATAACAAATCTTGAGTTTTAGGTTTTATATAGAATTTGTTACGGTTATAATAGATCGAATCAAACCAATGTAGGCCCTAAAGTTTTTTTTTTTTGTTGCCAATTGATTTACAAACAGAATAAATGAATTCAAGTTCAGGGTTTCGGCCCCAGAGTGTATCGAATCATACAAACTCCATTAGTGCGAGAATGTTGTAAAACTAATAAGTAATGAAATCAATGAAATGCTCGTATAATACACTATAATACGATAATAACGAACCTACTATTTTCTCCAATGAAGCATCTTTATAATGTCATAATTTTACTGTCTGCCATTTCTGCATATTCGTCACTCCTCACCTGCAATAAAGTTTGGCACTTCACCTTGGCACAAGTACTCGTCGCATAAAGATGCTGCTCCCCAGCCCCTTCGGAATCGCAAAATGTCCTCCGTAAAGGTTGAACCTGGGGCTCCAATGAACACACTTTCCATAGCACATATGGTCTTATCCAGCATAGCTTCCACCTTTAAAATATCAGTTAAGAGCAAATTTAGAATGATCATAGCAAAATAATAATGATATGGATACTGGAGGTTAAAATGAAGTTGGGGAGGCTGATCATGGATACACAACCCTTCAAACTGTACAGAATAATAAGTGAATCAAATACTTCCGAGGCACAGTTGTGCTTTCAGAACCAAGAATAGGTTGAGTATCACAAGGTAGAATTCGAAAAAGGACACGTGTGTATGATAAGCTCAAAAGAGTAGCCCAGTTTTAGCTACAAACATGGAATTTTCCTTTTGTTGGTTGATATGCATGAAAACTCGAATATTGAGAAGTAGAGTTTGATACTATGCTCTTTATTACTAGTAAGGTACACATTATGAAAAAAGTTAAAAATTAAAGAACTTAAAGAGAACTTCAATCAAACAAGCTTTTGCCTTGCAAAAAAGACTAACTAAAGGCATCAGCGATGTGCCTAATCAAAAGCTTCACTTACCTGAAAGGGTCCAAGGAACTTTTTCTATCTAGCGCAAAGGCACTGCTAGGCATGCCAAAGTGCACAGCTTGACAACACTGTTCATTCCATGGATTTAACACATATGACCCAATCATTCATAACACCTAATACATGGACCTAGCACTATGTGACAAAAACAGCAGGCTGAACTGTGATAGGAAAACAAGCCTCACAACTTGACAAGCTAAATGATAAGTCAACCTTTATTTTTCAACAGTTTGGACTTGTAATCTAGAAAATCCTAAACTTATCAGGATTGAGGGATTGAATTGTCAGAAAACAAGCCCTGGTCATGTAGAAATTTCTAACCTTTCAATAGAAAATTCGAAAAACAAAACAAAGTTTTATTTGTTCTTCCTCCAAACACTAAAGTAGTATAAAATCTACCTGAGGGTCATCCTCGATGCCATGTCTGTATAACAAGGCATCCCATTTTTCAGCTG